CAGATGATAATTTATAACATAGTTTTATGTTGCATTTGCTGGTATATATATTGTTTGTTCTTAAAAATGACTAAAATAGACCATGGTCAAAAAGTGTATAAGCATCGATAAGAATATTCAGAATTAAGACCACCCCGCAATTAAGACCACTTTGGCCCAGTCCCAATGGTGGTCTTAATTGAGGGTTTCTACTGTACTTCAATTAGGACTACATATCAGAATTAAGCCTGCCACAATGTTCCGTTAATGCCACTGACATGACAAAAAGCATGATACGTTTTGATATATGAGCCGCGCCATGACAAAATCAACATAATGGGTTTGCGACCAGCATGGATCCAGACCAGCATGCGCAACAGCGCAGTCTGATCAGGATCCATGCTGTTCGCTTACTAACTCTATTACAAGTAGAGAAACTGATAGCGAACAGCATGGATCCTGATCAGACTGCGCGGATGCGCAGGCTGGTCTGGATCCATGCTGGTCGCAAACGCAGTACGTTGGTTTTGTCATGGCGCGGCTCGTATGAATCAAATATATATATGAGCCATGTCACGACAAAACCAACATAATGGGTTTGTGACCAGCATGGATCCAGACCAGCCTGCACATAAGCGCAGTCTGATCAGGCTCCATGCTGTTCGCTTACAAACCCTATTACAAGTAGAGAAACTGAATGCGCACAGCATGGATCCTGATCAGACTGCGCTGATGCGCAGGCTGGTCAGGATCCATGCTGGTCGCAAACCCATTATGTTGGTTTTGTCCTGACACGGCTCATATATTTGGCCCAAATGTGATATCTGGGCGAAAATGAGTTATGACCAGTTTGAGGTAGAGCAACATCTGCTGAATAGCTGGAAATAAGTTTTTTATTTCATATTTGATATTTAAGGAAATATTCTAATTTCACGGTGTCAAGGGTATACGCATCATTTTTCCGCACACCGTCGATAATTTATCATCCTGCGCGCAGCACCGTATCATTTTAGACAAAACAAACACTTAAACACAACATGCATGATGAAAAACGACCTGAAAGTCACACTTTTGAAGTAAGTGTATTCATAAAAGTGTCTCTACGGAATATTATGATCATTGAAGCTTATCCGACTTATAATGACTGACTTATGCTCCGTACAAGCTTAAGGGGAAGCCGACACCGACAACGACGCCGACGACGACTACGACAACGACGCCGACACCGCCGACAAAAGTAACCCCTATATGTCGCCTTTTTCAAGAAACTAAATCTGGCATTTTTGGGGCCGTCCGGGTTTGGTGGTTGTCCGGTTTTGGTGGTCTCCAACCAGTAATACATGAAAACTCGCGTGACTTTGCAAGCGTTTTTATCACAATGATTACAAGAAAAGCATTGATGCAAATCATCAAAGGGCGTCCAAACAAGAAATGCATGAAGTGAAGATGAACTGGTAGACATCTGATGACAAGATATTCTTATAAACTATTTAAATAAATTCACGGTAAAAATGCCATAAGTTAGATCAGGGCCGTAAAAAAGAAAACCCGAGAGACCTACGGAAAATTTCAAAATGATAATACTATGATATATTAATTCGTAAAAATGGCCTTCTTTATTTTTTTCTATAGATTTATAAAGTGTACAATTAATTGTTTGAATATGTTTCTGCAAAATTCACCAGTTCGTTATCTATTGGCATAGCACGACACGAATGAACGTTTTGTTAAACTAAAACTACTTCTATAAATAGATTTTCGGACTTTCACAATGTTAAGGTATAGCAGTAACATACAAAATAACAAAAACCGAAGAGCGCGATTGATTGACGGATAAGATAATTTATTTGAATATATTTGCAATGCGAAATTCTCCAGTTTGCTATTCATTGTACATATTGCGACATTTTATTTTTCCTCATACCAATTGGAATGATGGGCTATTATGACAGACGAAAAGGCCCGAGAAGTTGCAATTGCCCTTTCACAAAATCTGATTTCATTCCATATTGGATGAATTTCAAAAAGACCAAATTCAGGAATTTTTGTGTTATAAACGGTATATGGTGAAACATTATTTATCAATAAAATAGAAGACTATTACCTGAATTTATGATAGGGATGAAGACATTCACTAACATCATGTTCGTGGGAGTCAAAGTTATAAAAAATATTTGACATTAGTGATATATAAAGAGCTATTGTTAATTGATTAATTTGGAGATTAATCTACTATTTTGTTGAATTGCTTCAAAACCTCTGTGTTAACATTCCTAAAAACTCACAACACCTCATGTTCAAACTGCAGACGAATGTTTCTGTTGTTAAAATGTGACAGTATTCGGAAAACCGGAACGAACCTACGGAAAAGACAATTTCAAAATGATAATACTATGATATAACAATTCGTAAAAATGGCCAACTTAAATTTTTTCTATAGATTTATAAAAGTGCAATTAATTGTTTGAATATGTTTTCATTTCATTTCCTGCAAAACACTTGTTCGTTATTCGTTACCATAGTGCAACACGAATAACCGTTTCGTTAAACTAAAACTATTTCTATAAATAGATTTTCGGACTTTCACAATGTTAAGGTCATCATTCTATTTATAGGTTCCGCAATATCATACATAATAACCCACATGATTGATAAAAAAGAGCGCGATAAATTGACGGATAAGCATTGCGAAAATCTCCAGTCCGCTATTCATTGTACATATTGCGACATTTTATTTTTGATAACCAAGCACCCTCATACCAATCGGAATGATCGGCCATTATGACCGACGAAAAGGCCCGAGAAGTTGCAATTGCTCTTTCACAAAATCTGATTTCATTCAATAATGGGCGTCGCGCTTCGGCGTGGACTCCAATAACTCCCAAGCTGCTAAATTTGAGATATGGATTTGCTCTGTTTTGAATTTGGAATGTATCGTTTCAAGATTTCAATATTTAAAAAAAAAACAGAGTTACAAACAGTATTTAAAGAGCCTGGTCAGACTACGTTCTGTTGGTGGCAAAGGCTATTATAAAAAGCCAACCTCGAGATTTTTCAGGATTTTTCTATCATCTTTTCATGTAAAAGCAAAGTTTGATTTCTCTATGGGAAATATCTGTTGATTATGTTCTTTAGCAATTGCCGAAATACTCTTCATTTACAGATAAACGGGAGAAAGCACTTGTCATGTTTATTAAAGGTACATGAAGTTCTCGGGTCGTTTCATGATTATATTACAACGCTAGATCTACAAGATGTAACAGTTTAGTTGCAATGCATTATGCAAATCTTCAAAAAGGACAATAAGCAATAAGAACATCGAGGAGTCACATGGAGTATCAATGGCACTTACTTTAGAGCGGGATAGAATACCAGTGAATCTCGATTATTAATTGATTGATGGATTTTTTGTCAGTAAATGTGATGTATTGCATTGTATGTTTTAAATATCCTATGGCTCTGTAGTGTATTGATTTGTGTTTTTTTTATATGTTTTGTTTTTCTACGTTATTAAAAATGTGACCTAAAATGATAATTTAAACATGTTTATTATAACGATGTACATATGTGTGTACAAGTAATGAAATAAACTGTTCTGTTCTTATATTGGACGAGGCATTACGCGTCAACAGGTGATGCAAATGCAGAAAGTGCATTGGTTATACTTTATAAGGTTTGAAATAAAATTCTTTCTTAAAATAATTCATTATACTTGATGTTTGCATGATTTTATGTTTAGCATATTAGCCTCTCTTTGCAATGTACATTTATGTTAATATTGCAAAGGTCATGCCAATTGCCAATACATTTTTTGAAAACGAAAAAAAAAAAATCCTATGTGGAATTTTTAATGAATTTCAAAATGAATCAATGCATAGAAACATGTTACAAATTTAAACATGAATAAATGAATTTCTGTAAAACAGTAGTTATTTTACGAACACAAAGTAGAAGTCAAAGCAAGATATGTTGTTTATAACATAACATAATGTTTATTGAAAAATAATAAAACTCATTTTTATGTTTAAATTAAACATAGTGTTTCCAATAATTTCGCTCGTCAAATAATCACTTAGACGATCCAGCCGTGAACTTTCGAATGAGGTTACATTATAATGGTAATTAATTTGTAACTCTTAGTAATTTTCATGATAACATTGTTGTTATTATTACATTAATAGCGTATTAATTAAATAATAAAGTAACTAATTAAGCAGGTAGTGGGCGAAAGCTTAAAATGCAAATATTTTGATAATAAAAAGAAAATAATGCACTTTGGTCTAGCCAGTTTAATGACTCCAATATCTCAGAAAATTATAAAAGAACATTCGTTATACTCTGAATTCAATGAGTACATTACCACCAATAAAACACAAATATATACTATTAATGTGTATTCTCTGTTAAAAGAAGATCATGCTAACATCAGACTATGTCTTTTGCATATTTTATTCGCTAACATGTTCCCTTCTATGTCGGTTACCTATAATCAATGCAGTATATACCGTGGGTAACCGATATAATTATACTTCTCGTAAACTTATCATGCCTTAATAACTAAACGAACAGGCACCCTGGTTTGTTTTTGTCCGACCTTTATCAGTTGAAAAGCAGCCAAAAGACGTCAGATATATTTAACTGCGTATTTTCAGCTTAATTTGAATGAGAAACAACAACAACAACAAAACTTAACTAGTTATTCCATATAAGAAAGCAACATAGTTTTTAATCTGAAAACTGTAAAGGTAGTTGGCATCATAATAAAAACATGTGTCATATGTTATAAAATGAAAGTCGTTATAAAACTTCTATCAGTGCAATGCATCAAATTAATCATACATGAATCAACACGTTTCATCAGATGAATTGAATTGCAATTTAATGAAATCGTTTGAACATAACTTTGTTTACAATTTTGATTTCCCAAAGGCGTGTCACTGAACAATGATGCTTATGGAATGGTCCGTCATTGATATATATACTTGGATTTTCCCCATAAAGTGTTTTATAAAGGATATGCACCCAAATTGACAATACAATCCTTTAAACGTAGAAAGAATTATATTTCATATCAGCATCAGCTGCGTAAAATGATATGTCAAATTTAAAATCAATTTGATATTATATTTGGGTGTGCATCTTACTCAACACAGGAGTTCACTGGTTGACTAAATGTGTGCATACATGTTCGAGAAATGGCTCAAGCTTTACGATTAGTTGTCTTAATACTTGTGCTTGATGGACAAATATCTACATCCAAAACAGGTAAAAGCATTATCACGTTTTTAATTAATTACCAAATTGTCTTCTTTATTAAAGATATTGAAACAATACGCATTTTACCAAAACTTTATTCGATGATTAAAGGTGTATTTCATTTTAAACTTAAAAGTTTGAATTTATAATTTGCTTTCTCATGCTCATAAAGGTAGCTTATAATGCATATTAAACCAAGTATTCTGAATATGTGTCTGAAATAAATAATAAAAATAATGTAAGACAGAAAACACATCAATTGAGCAGATGAGCAGAACGATATTCTTTTGTAATACCAATGCAGAGTCACGGTGGTTGAATTTAATATGATCGACTATATCCTGTTACATCTACTGTGACAATTAATTGAAGATGAATTTTGTATTTCAAGCTTTACTTTCTTCGAAAGGACCACTTTCATATTTCTCGAAGTTTACGAAGTTAAATTAACTATTTTAACATTTATTAAATCAGAATGTAACGTTAAATATAAACAGAAATATGATAACATTGAAAATATTATAGATAAGTTTAAAGGCAAAATGTGTTTTGTTAATATTATAGTACAATATAAGAACAGCAATTTTCCAAGTGGATCATTTGCTTTACTCATGTCAAAAGATGGTTGTCCTGAAAGCCCTGCAATGGGTTGGAAAACCGGATACATTAACATTACAACAAAACAACCGTTTGACGATCCGGCCTCGTTTCCAGAAACGAGTAGAAATGTTATAAGGAACTTCAAATTAGATGTGATTGAAAACATTATTCTTGGACCTTTCAATAGATACAATTTACAGCTTAACTTTTGCTTTAAATCTGCGAAACACGTTATGAATCAGGAAAACAATTGGATGCACGGGTCATATGGACTGTTCGGAGTCAGTGAAAAATGTCCTTACGGTAAACTTTCTCAGCTGTTATTAATAATTGTAGAATATAATTACTTGTTGTTTTTTTTACATTTTTATAGCATTCATGTAAATAATGGCTGTGATTATGAATATTCTTTCAGCTAACAAAGTTTTAACAAGCAATTATGGTTTAAAGGATTGTGAGAGTGACAGCGTGATTACAAAGAATTGTTTATTTGAATGTTGAAAAAAAAACACAATGCAAAACAATTAATAAAAAGTTCTGAATCTTGATACGTTTATGTTCTGGAAAAAAAAAATACAGAGTCAGATGATATGAGACATAAATATAGATTTATTCATCAGTATTCAGTATTTTACTAATGATTTCAACGTAGTTAAATGAGTGTACAAATTTCAGTAAAATTGATTCGTTTAGTTTATTGACCTTTTTACGACGCCGTCTATTTCAATGAAAAACCGATGGGAAGTGGTATTTTCTCGCGCATGCGCATTCTACGTAGGGCAAAGAGAGCATCGCCCTACATAGAAAATATAGCAGAAGTTCATAGATAATTCCGAGTACTGTATTAAGTTTAACCCTTTACCTCATATAGACGTGTTTTGACGGCAGTGATACAAAATTTTGGACATGTGACATGCTAAAAATTGCCTAAGGTCGATCGTAAGGTAACGTGTGACCAACGCTGAAAACCTGTTACTCTATCTCAATCCATTGAAGTTGCGGCACTTTGAAATCAGTTTTATGGAACAAAACAATGCAAACTACTGATTTTTGGCAATTTTGAGACGTCCCTCCGTGTCCAATGATACATGAAATTTATAATTGAGCATGCTGTTACGGAGGCTATGGTTCAGTCAACATTTGCGCAAAGTTTAATCAGTATTGAAGCATGTTTCATTGTATCAAAGCAATTTGAACTTGTAACAGTCCTGACACTTTTCGATGAAAACGACCATTTTTTACAATATGCTCATGAAGGAAAGGGGGTTATGGTAAAAAGTAAAAAATGTATATGAAATAGCCTTTAACAAAAACATTAAAGATGACTTTATAGCTTTTTGGCCCAGTTTGGGATAAAAAGACATGGAAAAGACGTTTGTTCAGACTTCCCCCTTACGACCACGGACCTGATATTGACAAAGGTTACATAAATTGTTGTAAAAATGTTGAAATATATCTATTAGCAAATAAAGAGGTCAAAATAATTGTTGTCGAAATAATTCATATAAAAACTAAAGAAATTTTAATAATATATGAAATCGAGGTTAATTATCATTCTGAAAATATCATCTGGAACACGAGATAATGCATTTTATGATTTTAGTTTACCTGATTTTATCCTTTATCCGATTGATGCCAAACAAAAATATGTTTAAGTCACATTGATAAATGTACAATATTAAAAAAAATATTGAGAAATTAAGATGGGTAGTGGGTAGTAAAATAACACACTTTTATCACCCAGTTCCTTGTAGCACACGTAAATGCACTTCACACTATTTGAAACTTAACAAAATCATTAAATATTGATGACATTTATATTTGTAAAAGTTACTTAAATTACGATTTTCAAAATTTTACGTGATTAACTTTGTCATGGCAGTGGTACTAAAAGGTTCCGGTTGAATGATATCGTAAACTAGCTTTAAATATTAACCGGTCACGTGTCAATTTGCCAAGCGAAGTGTGCAATACGAATTGTTCAATATTATGTAATACAGGGGTAATAAAATTTAATCTTAAAAACCCTGCTGTTTCAAATTAAATTTCTGATGGAAAAGTCGTCTAATGATGTCTTAAAAAGAGGACTTTTGTACATGCGCTTTTTTCATTGAATTATTAGTCCCTCATAGATTCGTATATCTGTTATAGATACAATTCAAGTTTTAAGAACTTACTGCTTAAAGTCATTCTGGAATAATTATTACTGTTTTCTGCGTAACATAACTTGAAATCTGTGTGTGTGTGTGTGTTTTTAGTTTTATTTATACTGGGCGCCGGTTACCCATATGTCCCAGACTATCGGCCTCTGTTACGTTGCTGGTCGTAGAGCCTGCAACGGAGGACTTATTTCGCCTGCAACGTCGTCGATGGTAGAGCCGCAAAGGAGATCTTTTCATGCCGTCTTTCGTCGTAGATCTTCTCTAGGACCGAGTTCCTCGCTTCCAGAACAATGGTAGACAGTAGAGGAAAGGCACCTCTTCCGGGAGCAGCAGCTCTCTTTAGGGACACACCCTTCGCCGTTGGTTAGGTCACACCAGCTAGGTGACCTAACTAGGTTACCCATCTGGGTGACCTATGCATTCCAAGCGACGTGCACGCCGCGAAGGGACGTCGGGAGAACTTGAAATCACTTCTATAAAAGCCTTTAAATAAGATAAACTGTAGTCACCGTTATTGCATTTTTGCCCTACGCAGAATGCGCATGCGCGAAATGCAACATTCGTTACTATGGAAAATCGTATGGTTAAATGGTCTATACAGGATGTATCAAATTTCGATAGTGTTGAATGATCAATCTTATAGAAACATTCTCGAATCTGTTTCTGGAACCATCTAATCGGAATACCTTAACGATCATTCAAAATCATCTCGAATTTTATATGGATAAAAATAGTTCTACCACATGACTTTCGATGTAACTAAAAAATCTTTGTATAATTGATAACGAATGTATATAATTGTAATCCATCAGAAAAAAAAGTCAACGTATATAAAAAGTGTACTGTTTACTTTAATTCAGTATTAAACACCACGCATTTTTACTTGTTATCGTAGGTTTAACACAGAATCCGTTCGTATCGTATCCGTTCTGTGTATTCGACGTCTGTTGCAATAAAAAACATCCAATTGATTAGAGAATATGACCTCATCATTATTTATGTTGTACTAATGCGAAAATACAAAACAATCATTAGCGATATGGTATGTAAATAGTAAGCATTTAAAATAAAAAGGCACATTTCTCTCTGGTTCAAAACATAAATAGAGGATATTGAACGAGTGTAGGTTTAATACTAAATTTATTAAACGAGTTAAACAAAATCATATTATGTGAGCCTCTGGCGTGCATTATATTATTTTTTCAACGCGTTCAATAAATTTAGTATTGAATCTACACGAATATAATATTGTATTTATCACATATTCAAAATGAACACGGCTTACAGTTAAAAAGAGTAATTTTTCATTGAATATATTTTTTCATAGTGTAACCTAACATTAGCGCGCTTTAACGCTATGTTAATATATAGCGCAAATTATGTTACGTCAAAGTGTTTAATCTTGTTTTTATTAAATGGCTTTATTACACTCCCGCATCGCAATTTATGCGATAAATGATTCTATGTAAATAAAACTTACTTCTCACACAGCTGATATTGTATTCTGTGAAATAAGTTTTTTTTTTGTTTCGTTTCTGTTCATTATGTTCTTGAAAAGTCGCTTTATAATATTATTACAAAAATAGTTCAATAAAATTTCTATTCACATTTATAACTTTACAACTAATTAACTTGATATGTTGAGATTGAATATATTTCCAATATTATTAAGTGCATTCTAGACATTAAACTGTCAATAATTCAAATTATTTAAGCTTTATCACGAGATACGAAAAACATATTTCTTTCGTCAATTAGAATAGTGATCGTTAATGATTGCTTTATTATCGTTAGCAGCATTTCCAAAATCTTAGCCATTTTTATCAGTCAATATTTTTTCTGTCTAAACACAGCTATTGACTTTCATGTACATCTCAATTTTTTGTTTCCTTGCAAATAAAGGTAGCGAGGGCAAAAAAAAGGAATATTTTGCAAAGGTGTGCCATTTCATGAACTTATATTGATTTTCATATCATATCCCCATGGCCAAACAAATGAAGAACTTTGATGACTTGTTATAACTTATCCTGTCCTTCTTAGAATCATTATGAGATGATAATATCTTTGTTATTTCGAGACGTTTGCTTTAAATTTTATATCAGAAAAACGTTATATGAACAAATAACATACATGATGTTTTGTCAGATATTGTCCCTCTTCAATTTCTATTGAAACTATTGAAGGTTTTTCTAAACGGAACATGACAATTCAACTTCCTCCGTTGCTGCATTTCAATGAAAACGGCCACCTTCCATATCATAAAATGGTGGAAGAAAATGGATATGCAGGTATGTTATTTCTCACATCGAGTCAAGTAAGATATGAATAATAATCAATATTAATTGAATGTTAAGCAGTATCATGTAGATGTAGATATTAATTGTTTTTTTAAATCATAGACTCCCCAGTATAAACAAAACAAATTTTGCGATTAAAAAACGTTTTTTTTTTTATATAAATACTACCAAATAAAATTTCTTCTAAAATTAAAAAAAAAAAAAAAAAAAAAAAAAAAAAAAAAACAATACTAGAATATGATAAAGTTATCATTTTAATCAACCATCGGAAAGCTCTTTGTCATACTTAAAACTGTCTATGTGCCTCATTCTGTTCATAATCCTAGTTGAAAAAAAAGAAGACGGAAACCACAAACCGTTTATGAAATAATCTAGAACAATTGATCACCTTTATGACATAATGTGTAGAGAACAAAAGAACAGACAGGTTGCAATCCCCAAGGTTAATATCGCTACCCCAAGATCGAAATAGGACTATCAGGTCAAACAATAATAGGTTAAGGTCAATTTTTAAGGGATAAAATGAAAATGTAAAATGTTCACATTTCATGTCCACGACATTACTTATTGCCTTTTGTGAAGGTTTTAAAATACTTTGTACGAATGATCGCAATCATTACAAGACTAGTTCAATGTCACACGTGATTGTAAAATATCTTTTTAACTGTATGGAAGCTTTTACACTAGCCTGGACCAAATAAGCGCACCACTATAAAATGATAACGCGAAAAACATTTCTACTACAAACGTAAAGGACAAGGTTGATCAAAGTTTTAAAGTCCACATTCATGTCCCATGCGACAGAATTTACAGCTGCCATTCAGACTGCCTTATTTTATTTTTATTTTTTAAAGTGTTTACTTTTTATTAACGCATGCATGCATAATGAGCTACGGGCACGCGAGTTTTTATGTAGATCTTTTTTTTGAAACCGGGATACCATTCTGACAAAGACAATATATATGAAGAGCCTCCCATATTAAAATAAATTATATCATTTTTTTTCACGTAACCGCTAGTTGTACAAAGAAATGTTAAATCTAACCACATTATTATCTGTTTTCAGCTATACAGTTTCTTTATTGTAGTCGGATACAAACACTTGACAATGAAACTATGGACTCACTGATAAGTTTCAACCCGTTTCTGGTTATTAAGGTAGAATGGTCATATCAAAACATACTTTTATCGGCCTTTCTAGTTAAAGTATACTTAATGTAGTTAGGTAAAAAATTCCCTGATTCGGCAAAGAAACAAAATATATAAGATTTAATATTTGTGCGTAACACAATTTTTTGTTCTTAAAGACTGTTTCATTTTCACATAGATCTACGTTTAAAAGCCACTTGTGACCAGATAGATATGTATGACACTTTATTCAAAATTTATATAAATAGATATATTGAAACACATTAATCTTTCGTAGAACTCCTTATCTTGTATGTTCAACATCTATACAATAATTCTTTAAATTTAGGACCAGGAAGATGTTGAATCACTATGTCCAAGTGACACCATGTATGACGTCACATTGGAAAGTTATCCAATGCCTTTGCCAATGCTGATAGAGAACATGACTGTAAACATCAGCTCATATAGCCAAACGAAATTTTGTTATTTTACGTTTAAAAAGGTGACGGTTGACCAAATTCGCGGTGAGTTTAAACACAGCTGCGGATATTTCTACATTCAAAATTTCACCATTTCCGTGTTAAATGTTGAATTCTGCTTACACCGGTGCTAGGGGGCGTAGACGGTAACTTGTACTTTCCAGTATCAATCCAATCGAGCCTGCAACATTTTCAATTTTGTTGTGTTGAACTTTCTTTAGGGATTCTGGTTTTCTCTATTTTATTGTAAAACAATTAATTATTCAATGGTAATATATTATGTTTTGTACATTTGAATAAAGAATAAAATTCTTACAAAAAAACCCGTAAATATGTGTATTACGATATCATTATTGCCATTTGTTGGCATAGTTACCTTGAAGATATTAGAATTTAATACATCACTAACATATTTGTAACCAAGTATCGAATGAATTATAGTTATTTGATTATTATAATATTAACGTATCATTTAAACTATAATCATTATTCATCTAATATCAGTCAATGCGACATCTAACGTATACTTTCTTTCAGATATGTCTGAAAATCCGGACATTGTTCATGTTTTCATAGACATCAATACAGTAGTTAACAACTGTGGGGACTTTTTGATTGGTATGTCAACATTTGAATGCTTGTGAACATATTCTTATTTTCAAAAGAGTTTGGACAAAGACACATGTTATATTTCTTTATCAAAATCAGTTATCAAACTATTTTCCGAGCCATTAATATACATATGAATTATAAAAGAAAAGGTTATTACTTTATTTGTTTCTCTTTCTATTAAAAGGTCCTCCATTACCATGCGATAAAGTGGAAACTTGGATCATGATTGACATAAGATACACTGTTTTGGTTTCCGGAATAGTGTCAACCCTACTGGAAGATTTCTATCAAGGTAGAACTGTAGTCTTAAACACATTCTAAATAAAAAATCATAAACTATAAAATAAGTTAATTCCATTATGGATAAATGATAACCTTTTGTTCTGACAACGTTTTAAAGGTACTATCGTAAATGTCATGTTATTCGTTTTTGGTAACCTACAATTTATGACCATATATAACACAGGTACTTTTTAACAGGGCAGTGGTTACGTATTTTTGTCGGCGATGAGCAATGGAGTTTTTTATTCGACGGGGCATTTCTTTGCAGACACAAGAAGATACACGTTAATGAAGGAGACATGCCCACTAAAATGATATACAAATGCATAAAGTATTAATTTTATTTTTTCCCCTTTGAATAAGCTACTTTTTCACGTGAGTAACATTGTATGTAATGTGCATTTTGTTTAACACAATGAAAAATGAATCAAAGTGAAAACACCAAATATTGTGTAAATATACTGCTATTTACGAGGGTTGTTCAAATATGAATGCAACTGGGTCAATTTTCAGAAGTGCTTAACAAACAGTGCCAAATTATCTCAATCCTTCAAAAATACTCAAAACCATGTGATGTACAGCGTTTTTTAGTGTTTTAATCCAGTTCTATATCATTTTTCATAATCTTTTCGAGGTATACTGTTCAGGCACTGGAAAATAACAGATTTACACATAACGAACTGCTTGTTAACCATCGTCCTCCATTTGAAGAGTATTTGTTTAAGAACAATTAGTCATTTATTTTTTTTAAACGTTATACCCGAGAGTATACTTTTTGGAATTTGAAAATCCTTTACTATTTCAGTTTTAGTTTCACCCTCTTTTTCCATTTCTCATAAAACATCATATTTAGTTTCTAAACCTAGTGCTTTCCGTGTTCTTTCTATGATTAAGAATAAACAAGACTTTCGATTTTTCCTTCCTTTTATATTGAATATCTTCTATAATATTTTAATGGTGACCTTATATGTAGATTCCTTTTATTTTAATCAAGCGTACTATGAAGTTTTCAACGGCTTAGCAAGGAGAAGCATAAGTGATTATGTTGAAAACCGATTATAAATGATTATAATTAGTTTACTCCAGCAAAACTATTAAAGAAAAGAAACATTTCAATAAAATGAATAACCGCGTTTTATCTTGGTGACAAGAACACTCATGCTAACACTATCCAAAATAAAAAACTATTACGTAATGCTATACAAATTCATTTTCAAGTACATACAACAATAAACGGTACATTCGGCCGAGTTTTAATCCGTGCCAATGAAAACAAATTAAAGTTGAAAATGCGGGATCTTTTAACGGATAACCGATATTTTTGAGTTCGTTATAAAAGTGTAATTTTCTGTACTTTTAACTAAATTGGGACAAAGAAATGAGTTCCTTATAAGCAGTCATTCCTTATAACCGTGTTCGCTGTAACCGTATCATTTTATATTAAATAAAGAAGTGCACAATTCGAGCCAAATAAATATTTCCTTATAACCGGAATTTGCTATAACCGTGTTCGCTATAAGTGAAGTTTACTGTATGCGATACATGTACATAGTTCGTGCAAACCGTAGTTAAAAGCGAGATATTGACCTAGTTACATTCATATACGAACACCTCTCGTAGGTCATCTAAATTTGATAAATGGTATAATTGTACATAATCATTTTATTGATTATCGCACTTTTTGTTAAATAACATATATTAATCTTGTTTGTAGGTCGGTTATTGGAAGGTATGTGACTATGATATTTAGATCAAGGTTGGAGGATTGGAGAAACAATCGTTCTGAGGACTTAAGCAACACACCCATTGCTGTTCTTTCTGAAAACCATGATCAGTGTAATTTGATTATTTCCTTTCGTTGATACATAATATACATTTTTAACTACTTTGCAATTAGTAAATCTATTTACTTTTTAATGCAAGTTTCAACTAATCTGCATTTGCAGGTACCTGTAATTTCGGTACATATTTGACTAGTTTCAGGATTTGTAAGGTGTAACCAAGAGCTTGGTATGCGTAATCATGACATAAAGGACCATCAAATAACGTCTTCGTCATGGCAAGTTTCCCACGATCCAAAAGAGTCCCGCCATCATTTATCCGGTTGGTGTGCTGGCTTGACAGATAAACAGCCATTTATTCAGGTAACTAGATTTTTTTTTAACTTTTTCACCTTTTAGTTATTCTCACACCAAGTTTTAACCACACAACAGTAAAATATATATTGAAATGTTACAAAATATTAGCAAATTTTAGAATTATTGCTTATAGACCCTTGTCATGTGATCATTATCAATATATTGTTTATAATATGTTAACCTTTTCCAGGTTGATTTATTGAAAAAGACCTCGATAGATGGTTTAGTAATAACCAACTGGGAGGAAATCATTGACGATATTGAAAACAACAAGTACGAAAGACGGTTGGTTAAAAGAGGCTGTCGGTCGTTTTATATAAAATATGGAAACTATCTTGATGTCTTGGAACGATACAATAATATGGTGAGTTGTTGCCTGAAGCCAGAAAGATTGAGTTTATCATATATGATTGTGCAGATGTCAAAACTTCCATTCAAAGAACCTTCTTAAACAGGCATTATGTTATCATCTTTTTCATGATTTTCTAAACTATGTTATTTGTTACATAGATAATTATACATTATTAATAGTATGTTCCGTTAATTACAATATTGGTGGATCATTTATTTCATTGCAATATAAGACGTATTGTCACATTAATTTCAGCAATTTTTATCATTTTATCACACCTTATTTTTGTCTTATACGTTTAGCGATTATAACCTTAAAAGAATGTTCCAACTTTAAATTAACGCCTTTACACAGCATGTCACATTGAACACACCACATCATGTTAATATTATGAGGTAATTGCATGTATACATTGTTCAGTTAAATACTGAATGAATATTGGGCGAGGACCTAGCAGAGTCTGGTATTGTAATCAACAATATTATTATATAATGACCTTTATTTCACATTTTTTGACATTTTGAAAACTTTGTGACTTCAAGTACGTCAGAATATATAATAAATTTTAACCCTGAACTTGAAAATAACGATAGTTTGGGTACGATATGCATATGGTATGGAATTTTTTTTACTCTAAAGATGAAAACGAAGCTATATAGGATGTGATATGCATTATATAAATATCGGCCTCTTAAAATAAAAAAAAAGAATCTATATGGGGTGTGATATTGATAAGTTAGGGATATTTAAGATTCTGGAAATAGAAACTAAGCTTATTTGTAAAGATTGGATCCGATCGATAAAGATTAACCACAGCTGTTCAAAACTAAATAATTATGCCGTTTCATGCCCAAATGACGTCAAATTTAGATATATTGTCACTTAAATATAAATTAATGTGTTGGTGGAATATATGGACAAACAGAGTATAAATTATGAATTTATTAGCAGTAAAACTTCGCTTCAATAACTATTTTTATGTGCTGCGCCGGGTGTGTGTTACCATGGTTATTCAATATCACAGGAAACACGCGTTCATCACAATAAATTAATAAACTTATGCATAAATTGTAGAAAACATTTTACAATCCCTAAAAATTTGAAAATATTCTAAATTGGATGAAATATGAATATGCAAGACTCTCAGTCCTATTTCTTTTTGAACAACCCTCGTAAAAGACTTTTATCAGTTTTTATTATGAGAGAGTTTTATCTTATCTTAGAAAAAAACAACAGTTTATTGAAAATGGTCATAACATTGGCAGCCATTAATGTTACTTTCCTTTTCAATTTTAATAATAATGCATTTTTGTATAATCACTTAAAAGTTGTTATTTTCAATATTTTTCAGCCGTTTATTTATGACGATTCTCAGCGTGTTGATATTCCACAGACTTTCCTTTTCAATGATCAATGCACTGCAAGATATATACGAATATTCCCTACCCCTTTCCAGAATAAAACTGCACCGTGTCTAAAATTTGAAATACTCGGTTGCAAAGATACAGGTTTGCTTTGAAACATGCAAATATGATTATGTAGTCATTTCCATTGTGTTTGTAGTAAGAAACACAAGAGTTTTCTTTTTTTTAATGTAATTCAAGTTTTAATGATATTCGGTATACATCCATGTAAATATATCAGCTTTAATTTCAAACAAACAGCGCTTCTTAAAATAGCGGTGACGGCGGAATTGCATTTTTTTTATCAATAAGAAATTGTTAAATAAAACTAAGTCTACACGATGGTATTTTTTAAAATGACGGAAACCCATTTAAGACTTGACATTCGTTTAATGTAATTCATTAACACTACAAAATTCGCTTAATTTAGTTATTTTATTGCTGTAGAAACTCGCAATCCGCCAAAGATCATGTTAGACAAAGACGAACAAATAATTTTTAACGAAACCTTTACAAACATAAACCAAGCCGGATCGCTTGTAAGTTTCAAATATCCTTCTTCAAATGCCTACACTGCAATTCATCGGTGGACAATACAGTTACCAGTACACTTTGCAGCTCTACGTTTTGCACTTATTTCCCTACATGTTTATCAGGTCAGTTCAATAATATATAATAACTATTTTTCTGGCTTATAAGAGTATTTTAAAAATTATTATGATAATTATGTTATAAATTAAAATAATAATAAATGTAAGTATTTAACTTGTGTATTTTCACAAAATGTTTTAATGCAAATATTGTTTGACATTTGATTTTGACAGGCTAACGTTTAAAACAAATTATTACATGTATAACATTAAACATTAACCACTTTGAGAAAATAAACTTGATTTCATTTACCCATTTTACCAGGGATACAGGGCTTAAGTATTATTCTACTTCTACTTAAATGTTTAGAAGGAACAAAAATGTAGCTTCCAACTTTGATCATATCTTAGAGCTAAGTTTTTCGTCAATCTCAAGTGATACAAGTCATGTGTACCAGTATTTGTACGTGTTTGCATATTAAATTCATCGCGTTAAGTAGTTAAAGATATGTAGAATGATAATTTTGTAACATAAAATCTTCAGTTATCAATATTGATTACTTAATTAAAATGTTATTGTAATCTGTGATAATTTTGGAATCTATCTATTTATTACGGTTAGTGATGTTAGGCTAATTTGGTGAGTATTGTTTTCTTTAGTTTCAAAACCAAAGGCTATTTTCAAACTATCGCTTATGTGAAGATGTTATCATTTTGTCAAAAGAGGACATCATAGAAGACATGGTTACTTTTCAATCAAATAACGCGATTGGAAACTATCGATTAAACAGTAGTGGTAATGGTAAAATGCCGTCCTTTCCTCTTTCGGAAAAAGTCGCTTTTCTTACATTTATTACATGTCCTATAACGGAAATTGCTGAAGAAGGAACAGGTTTCAAAGCTTTTATAGTTGAAACAGGTACGCATTACTAGCCTGACAACGAAATGTTTTATGCCCTTTATGTTTATATATTCTTTCAATGTTTATATTTAACTCATTAGTCCTATATTCGTCTAATGCTTTATTTTATGCTCGTTTTAATAAAAAAATTTCCTAAATTAACATGATTTAATACCTTACTTTCTTGCATATCAGACATAACGTTTACATCGGTGCTTAAAAAGCTGTCTCGACAAGTCGCGTGCTTTAAATGACGCCATTACCGCGCGCCTTTTATGAATGAATTGCGTTCTTAGAATGACGTCGCTTTGCTGTGATGAATGAAGTTGTAAATTCATTCGCTACTATAAGAAAAAAGTGCTAAATGAAAAAAATTATGATAAATATTTGATATGCAAGAGAAAAAGAATAAACAGGCTGTTGTAACAGACTGATATATCTAGCTAAGCGGTCGGCAGTGCCGTGTTACCGCCGTAAACAGTTACCATCAAGCTTGATATTCCGGTCTGTACCGGCAGCCATTGTAAGACACTTATAAATAGTACATTATAACATAATTTCTCTATGTAATTATATGTGTTTAAGCATACAGAAACCATGAACAACATGTTTTGATGAGCTAAGTAAAATAGAATGTTGAAACACTTTAAAAATATTGGCAAGCAGATAACAATAAACATAAAGCAAAGAAATAATACATCTTGAACGATCATATAGGCCAGGAGAGTTGATTAGATTAGGTTTTGGTAATGCGTATGCCATTAAATAGTTGTGAAACACAATGCACTACTACTAAAGAAATAGCTTTAATAAATAGCTTTGAAACATAAAATATCTGCCGAACCTATTATCAGACACGGTTTATAAAATTATTTGTTCAATTAATAGATTATAAAAACTGCTACTGGGATGACCCAACAGGATATTGCAATTTACCCTCAATGGACATAATATCGGATCGTTTCTTGTTTGGAGCGCTGGAAAATTCCGTGACTCAACGTGAATTTAAATGGACTATAGATGCCGAAACAGATTCTATCATTTTTACCTTGAATTTTGAAGACTTTGATATAAGTTGCTTTTCAGGTAAATGCATGAATATGCGACTAAATATCTTTTGATTATTTAGAAATTTAGAAGATTGTAACAGTCTAAATATTTATTCTTATTAAGCAATTAAATTAGTTATGGGGATATGGTTAAGGAAAGTTATATGTACCGTTATAATTCAACGATAATTATTCAGGACATTTATTATCAGAATGTTATAGTGCTAAAAATAATCGAAGATTAAACAAACTCATTTAAAACGTTGCATACATTTTACCGCACATTTTAGGGGTTTTAAGTTCATTTCTAATGAAACATGTATATTTGTAAAATTTCGTTGACGACGGCATTGCTTATTCGTTATGTCAGTCCAAGGAAACTAACTTTACTTTTAAAAGAAAATTATTTTGACGCAAAAGAACAGGTATGTCAAATTTGTGGCAAATTTTCTTTTTAGAGTCGGAATTCCTTTTAGAAGGACCTGACATAAAGGAGTTTACCAGTTTTTGCAATTCCAATAGGCCACGAGGAGACATTTATTTTGTAACAGCACCACTAGTTGTTGTATACAGACCATATAAAAGTAATATTTACAGTTCCACCCCCTTTCCTGAAGGATTTCATTTGAAATATGACTTTCTACCGAAGAAAACTACTATTCTCTATCAACTTGAGGAGGAAAGTGAGTTTCTATAATTTCAAAAGCTATAACTCAAGGCAATTTTGTTTGCTAAGCACTTCTGCCAAATTTCTGAGACTTTGTTACTCCATACAAACTAATTATTTTCTGAAAGTAAATTTTATCAAATTTTGTGAACTTTAAAGTGATGGATACTCATTCCTTATGAGTCGTTTTAAAGTGAAAATATTGTGTATATATAATAGTATGTGCTATGCAAATGTGTACATTGAGTTTTTTCTTGAGAATCTTCATAACCGTATTATGGAATACGTACTTATGGCATTTGTGCAAATGAGATTAATACAGATTTAAAGTAACCATGCCTACTGAATTTCAAAGAATTTTTTCAGTTTATCTTTTAAAAGAGAAAAATAAGAACATTCTGTTTCGACTACAGATATATTGCATGGTACGGAAGAGCATTAGTGCCATGCGTCTTTTTTTATTAACTCGAGATTTCGAGTTACTTATCCGAAATTTCGAGTTACTGAATACGATATTTCGGCTTACTATTTTGAAATTTTGAGTTTTATTCCTCGAAATTTCGACTTTCATCACTCGAAATGTTGACTTACTAACTCGACATTTCGACTGAGTAACTTGCAATTACCAAGAGTTTAGATAATGTCAGGCATAGTAAGGAGTGTAGGGATATAGATGGAGAACCGGAAGCGTCTATATTTCACGTGTGGGACATCTGAGGAAAGTGGCCAGGTTCTAAGGCCTTTGCTGATAAGTAAAAAAGTCGAAATTTTGCTTTATTAAGTAGATATTTCGAGTAAGAAACTCTAAATTCCGAGTCAATAAAAGCACACCACACCTGGCACCAATGCTCTGTCGAGCATAGTGTATGAATTGCATAGCATTTTATTATCTTTATATTTAAAAAATAAAATAATATATATATATATTATATATATATATATAATATATATATATATATATATATAATATATTATTTATTCAAAAAAATAGTATCTCTAACTTGTCGTATATAATCAGAAATCACTAATTCGAATTTGCTTTCGCTTGTCAGCAGTTCCTAATGTATTCTTATTCTGGGCTATCCCAGACTTGAAGTAGTGCATTTGAAATTTACTCAGTAATTACAAGTTTCGGCCTTGCGCAGCATTTATTATACATACAAATATATAAAAACAGAATGGGCCTCTTACAAGGTACGCAATCAGATCACGTGTAAATCTACCAGTGTTGTGTATGCAGTGTATTGCAAGCGATGCGAAAGTTACATTTATGTTGGTGAAACATGAGATAAATTGTATTTAAGAAATATTCCTAATTTATCAATAATAAGGACCAAGAACAACGATCCGTTAGCGGCAAATTTTTATACAAACGGGCACACAGTAAGTGATTTCTCAATGATGGGGCCTGAAAAAGTATACGGGAATGACCAATATCGAAAATCAATAGAAAATTTCTGGAATAATAAATTAAGAACCGATAGACCATATGTAGTTGATACTTAAGAAATAATATCGGTCTTAGCGATGTTTATCGGCTATTTAACACCAATTTATCATTCTACGTTTGAAATGACGTCAGCGTTTATAAATGAGTTGTATATTTCAGCTGACATCATTACGCTGTTTACAGATTGGCGCTGTTTTGTCAAAATATTTATTAACTGATTTGGATCAAATCTGTGGTGTTACTGTATGTGAGATATTATTTCGGTATCATTTTGTTGCCAGATTTGTATGATAAGATAACATAAAAACTGAAAATATAGATAACAATGCCTTTTAATTGATGCTTTAAAAGGCTTTGTAAACTACATAATCGAGAGAAAAAACATAACAGCTGCAGTCCCTAACCAGTGTTTATTGTCAGTTTAACACCGTTTTTTCTTCTTTGTCTATAGCGACAAAATCACGAGGAGTGTTAGAATAAAGAATAACGCGACAGATGTCAAACACCGCCACGGCGGGCGTTGCTCATTGACGTGACGTCACTTCCATTGTTTTGTTTGTATAATAAATACTGCTGAAGAAGGCTGCAGGGCGAAAGCTACGGCAAATTCAAATTAGCCTTTTTGATTATATTATCATACAATGTATTATATATAATGTACATTGACCTATATATGTGCGATTTGTCCTTCTGTACAATGTTTTGACGCATGTTATTGCGTTTTTCTTTTGGACAGTAAGCGTAAAGTAGTAACCTCTCTTTTAAACATTTAAAATAGCAAAAACGATATCATTGTGTGTGACAATAGTGCAAAATATTTCATCGAATGGTGTCTAAATGTAATGCATAGTTGTCATTGCTTCCGGTTGGCTTATCTTTTCTAATTTCAACATTTGATGTTTGTGTTGCAGATCATTACGACGATAATAATTTCCCAGTAAGAATAGGTAAATCTATTATATCTTTTATTTAATAGTTGTAGATAATTCAAACCTAATGTTTGTACTTTGGTTATAGGCAATAAATACAGTGTGTAGGTTACGTTTTATCCCTTACATTTTTGTTTGTTCTTTTCCTCAAAACTGATTGTGCTATATAGTACCGTGAACATAAACTGAATGTTGCTGCCTAGACTTTCTCAGTCTTTTTTTATTTACACTTAATAACATTTTTATTTGATCACTTCTTACAATGCATTGTTTCGAAAACTCCTCGCAATATCAAACTGTATTTTGGCCGGGTTGCACAGGTGCAAACTCGGGTTATAAAATGGTGAATGTTGGGCGGTTGGCGGATGGGCGGGCGTAACAGTTTTCTCAGCAACAACTTATCGAAGCATTTTGATATTTGTATACAGTATTAACACATGGTCCCATACTGTGGGACTCAATTTCAGGTCTGTTGCTCATCCACATCCTGTTTACCGACTAAGTTAAATTTTCGACAGTTTTCTCAGCAACTACTCATTGCAGCTTCTTGATATTTGGCATAAAGCTTTAACACGTGGTCACATACCGTAGGATTAAATTTCAAGTCTGTCACATTTATCTACTTCCTGTTCACCGACGTAATCAAATTTTCGACATGAATGGTCAATGGTAGGAAAACAGTTTTCTCAGCAACTACTGATCGCAGCCTCTTGATATTTTTGCATACATCGATCATAAACACATGGTCCAATACGGTTGGATTCAGTTTCAGGTCTGTCGTTCATCCACTTCCTGTTTACCGACTTAGTTAAATTTTCAAGAATAATGGTGAACGGGTTGCGAATTCTTCGCTTAAACAGTTTGTCCTCAGCACTATTATCGTTCAGCCTTTTGATATATGGCATAAAGAATTAGTTAACACGTGGACACTTACCGTGGGATTTAATTTCAAATCTGTCGCTCATCCATTTCCTGTTTTCTACATTATTGGTCAATCATTAACATTTTTGTAACATCACATCCTCATGATATTTGGTTTACAGATGCAACCCTGCCTTTTCTGTCTTTGACCCATTTTTATTGTTCCGATACCAACATCTCGAAACCACTATAGGGGGGGGGGTAGATTTATCTTTGTCCGTTTGTCCGTTCTCATGTTTTGTAACATGTAGCTCTAAAAGTGCTTGAGTTAGTCAACAAATTTACAGGAATGTTGATCAGCATGTGAAGTGGTGCACTTGGGGTTTTGCTTGTGGGTTTATACAGTTTAACCAGCGTTATTGCCCTTCGCTTAGTAAAATGGTAGTTTCAACTTGTGTCGTGGGTACTTCAAAATGTATTTCATCTAAAGGCATGAAACGCTACAATAATGTTGGTCAGCATGTGCATCTTGGGATTTGCTTGTGGATTTATTAAGGTTTACCAGAGTTATTGCCATTGGTTTAGTAAAATTGGCAATTACCATTTGCGTCATGCATACTTCAAAAAATATTTCATCTAGAGTCATAAGACTTTACAAGAATGTTGGTCAACATGTGTACTTGTGCACAGGGGAATTTGCTGAATGCCTTTGACTTAGTAAGTAGATATCTGCCATTTTCAACTTGTGTCACCCGTTGCCCAAAAAGTATTTGACATAGAGTTATGAAACTGTACAGAGATTTCGTAAGTTAGTGGCGACCAGGGGGATTTGCTTTACGTGATCTTATGTCAGTATTTTGTTAGAGTATTTGACCCTTGAACTTAGTACAAACCGTCAAAATCGTTGTTATGTGTACCTCCGTAAAAGGTGTCTAGAGGCTGGAATCGAACGAACTTACTAGGGATGTTGATCGGCCAGTGAAGATGTTAACCTTGGCTTTATTCAGTTTTTGTCTGACTAGAATCTTTTCAATTTTTCAACCTTGTTCGTATGTAATAGCTTTAAATATTGAACCTAGGTTCCCCTTTTTTAAAGTTCTTTTCAAAGGTTATGAGGAAAAAAAAAATGGTCAGGCAATGTGCATCCTGGGATTCAGCTTGTGGATTTATTCCGTATTTGTAGTATCTGTCATTGACTTAGTAAACGATTTTTAATTTTCAACTTGAATCGCGTGTAGCCCAACAATATTTGATATAGAGACAGTAGATTGAAAAAAAAAACAGTGACGAACGGGAGCACCCATGTCCGATGAACTCATTTCTTAATCTTATTTAAAACAACCATAAGTAATCAAAGCATAAAAACAAACGTCGGTCAATGGTACCAAAGCGAGGAAATAATGCCTTTATAAAATATTAGGATAAATTCAAGCTGCATTGAATATTTAAGCAGAAAATTTTACAATAAGCCGAAAATGACAACACATGAAGATGGCCGAGTGGAATGTTTGTCTATAGAACCTAGAGCAGAGACTTTTCTTACACATTGCCCGATTTTACAAAATGATAATTGAAACACATTTATAAAACCCCTTTGTGTAGGTTTTGCAATTGTTTTATTAGCGAGATTCTGACTTTTATACGAAGAATTTGCGAAATTGTCATACAATCTGCAAAATAGATAGACTATGGTGTTGTATTGATATTTTGTTTTCCCGACCCATGCAGCGAAATAAGATGTAGGTGACCATATAGAAATATGGTTAAGTGTATGTATATATGTGTATAATTAATTATATTGATGTTTTGTAGGTACCCCAATTGAATCTTTATTTTCCTTTCTTAATAGGAATGCCGACTTGTGAAATACACTTTCTTTATGTACTACAAAACTGTCCATTTAAAGACTTTAGAAATAACAATCACTTTCTTTTCATATCTTATCTATCTTATCTTTGTATTCATTGTTTAAAGATTCTCAATTGCACGTCCAACCTGAAGCTAACATGCAAATTTTTCATTTACTTTTCACATCCAAAAATCAGTTTGAGAAAAAAGTTATTTAAAAAAAAAATATTTTGTGAACGTTTATTTTCATGATGTTTTTAATCTTACAACAGTTTGTTCAGAGGAATTCAACAAATGCTACCATCTTCGAACAACACACGGGGAAGGGTTGGACGCCATGATGCTTTATGATACAGTATGCAAGGATAGAAACTCTTTCCTCGTGAATTTAAAATCACTGAAAGAACAGCAATTAGTCCGAGGACTATTGCTGGACTACTATCTGTCCCTAGCTAAATCTTATACTGCATATAAATCAAATCCCTCAGATGCATACACACTTATAGGTAAGTTTAAGAAGACACAGGTATCGAGGGTTTCTGTAATAATTACAGATACGGGGATGAAAATATTTTTCATTTTAGAAAAACACTTTTGAACAGTTAAATTTACAAAATCATATGCCGTTTTGAATCAACGAAGGTAAAATATTGTATTGCCTTCAATATGTGTGTGGCGTATGTTAATCTTCATAAAATATTCTAACGGCGTTTTTATATTGAATTAAGATACTATTTAAACATATCAAATTTGTTACATTGATAAGACATGTAAGACAAAGAGTGTGTTTATTGTGATTGAGGAATCAAAGTAATTAATCTCGCCGACGACCAAGGCATTATTCAAGGACGTTTGTTTTAGATACAATATAAAAATAAAAAGGCGCCATCCTCGACTCCTAATTTTTTTGCATAAAATGTATCTATTTTAAAACCATGCAATTTGAAAATTTGATATAATTCATAGAATAGTATACGTTCAGGTCTATAGAAGCAATAATCCTTACACTGAAACGTAATTCTTTATTTAGGATTAATGACTAGGCCTGATTACGAGTTTCCTGATAGAGTAACACAAGTTTGGTCTGACGGAAGTCCGCTCACCTTTTCGGCTTGGTAATGGTCTCCATTTGTTTTTTGCTTTTTGTGTTTTTATTGCTACAAATCGTTTTTGAACAATAAATTGTAATATATTTTGTTAATAATATAACAAAATAATAGTGTACTGCATTAAACTTTCAGATATAAGTATAGTCATTTAACCAAACATTTATAAATAAACTGGTCATGAACTATCGAATTGCTTTATGTTTAAGATTTCAAAGTCATCACAATTAAACCTTTTTTAAAGATACTGGTTTTTATACGACAGGATTAAAAAGCATGTAGAATTTCCATAATAAAAAGTACAACTGAAGTATTATTCTGCCTGTAAATTTGCAGGGATGAAGGTGAGCCTGTAAATATTGAAGAGAGAACTTTCACATCTATGGCTATGTCCAAACTAGAGAAAGAGAACACGTGGAAAACTTTAACACCATGGCAAATCTTATCTGATGACAATGAAATGTTTGCCTTTTGTTGCGAAAGTACGCTCAGAAATCTAGAGAAAGGTAATTAAAAGCTTGTTTTGTTCTTGCTGCTTGTACGAACTTGTGACCGCCTAACTAGGTAGTTCCGAGTCTGACAATTATTTTTGTATGACTAAGTGAATAATGGGACATTGAACTTATGGAAGTCTTGTTTTGTTTCAGATTTCAGCATTAAAAGTACTCTGAGAAATCAAAGTTTTCAAACATGGGATGTACATAATCACACACTATTTCATTGCAAGAGCGGAGAACTTATGTCCAATTTAGTCCTTTGTAACGGCGTGAAAGAGTGCTCGGACGCATCAGATGAAAAAGATTGTATTCAAAGTAAAGTTGATTTTGTTGTTGCTTCCTAATCTTTATTGTGACAAGTATGCGATGGTATCTGGTACTACAAACAAGAACTATCGCTGAATGCGATTCATACCCCAACCAATGTCCTTGACAGAAGACGACTTGGAAAGGTGGTTAAGGGAATAACTTAAGTGACACAAATACAGATACATAAAAAATCATCTCTGGTAAAAAATGACTAATTGTAAAGGTAAAAGTAAAGATATATATTGTCAAATCATGTTCGAAACAGTTACAAAATTAATAACCTTTCATTTTCCAAATGTACTAAACATTTTTAAGTCAATTTTTGACCTTAAGTGTTTCCTGGACCTTAAGCTGGCACACGGGTAAGATGGGTTCTGCACTTTGCCCAATAGGGTGAACATTTGAGTAAAGTTTGAAGAAAATGCTTCCATTAGTATAGAATTTATAGAGCGGACACGACATATTGTCTAGTACTGATTGTATGTAAATGAAATTTGACCTGCATATCTTTCTTGTGACACCTCATACATCTTTTAAGTTTAAATAAATACCTGTGCTAGTTTCAGGAATATTTAAGTACATGTTAAAATTTAAGAACATTTTCTATGTCAATTTTTGACCTTCAAGTGTGACCTTGACCTTTAACCGGCACAAAGGTAATATAGATTTTGCAGATAACATTGTTGAGGTGAACATTTGAGTAAAGTTTGAAGAAAATTCTTCCATTAGTACAGGATTTATAGAGCAGAAACGACATATTGTCAAATATTTGATTGTATGTAAATTTGAAGACTTAAAAGGAGCATAACTTTGTTAAAATGCAATACAGAGTTATGAAACTTACACTTCGTATATATTTTAAGTTATAAGCGAATACCTTTTCTAGTTTTAGGAATATTCAAATACATGTTAAAATTTAAAAATATTTTTAGTCATTTTTTGACCTTCAAGTGTGACCTTGACCTTAAGGCGGCAAAAGGGTGACAATGGTTCTGCACATTACCTTGTTGAGATGAACATTTGAGCCAATATTGAAGAAAATCTTTCAATTAGTGTAGGACTTACAGAGCGGAAATTACATACTTTATAATATTTGATTGTTTGATATTTGGCCTTCAATTGTGACATTGACCTTGAACTGACACATGAGCAACATGAGTTCTACACATTCCCTTGTTGAGATGAACATTTGAGCCAAGTTTGAAGAAAATCCTTCAATTAGTGTAGGACTAACAGAGCGGACACGATATACTGTCTAATATTTGATTGTTTGATATTTAACCTTCAATTGTGACCTTGACCTTGAACTGACACATGATCAACATGGGTTCTGCACATCCTCTTGTTGAGGTGAACATTTGAGCCAAGTTTGAAGAAAATCCTTAAATTGGTATAGGATTTATAGAGCAGACACGAAAATGGAGACGGACGGACGGACGGACCAACAAACCGACGCGAATCCATTATAGCCCCCCCCACACACACACATTGTATGGTGGGGTATAATAAAGTTAATTTAATTGATCGATGGCAATGTTATTAATTAATATGTTTTTATTCTGCAACGCTGATCTTAACTCGGAAACTTAAACAAGTTCGTACTGCTTTACAAATTGAAAAAAAAATCTTTAAATATATTGGTGTTTTTAACTTATGTCAAATAATAGCTTAAAGTGTTTGTTTTGTTTTTCTCTTGTCAAGATTTTTTTTTCAAAAGTAAAAGATTTACAATATCATTCAGTTTCTAAAGTTGCCGTTGCGCGAAATTATTTTCTCCCCCTTTAACCTTTTTAGCTATAAAAAAAACTATCATTTTTTTTATGAAACTGGTGTTGCAAAAAAAACGAAAATTTGATGCCCAAAATGGTGAGTGTATTCATGCGTCAAGTGTGGATTTATTAAAGACTGCAGAAAACGAAGAAAGAGTTTTTTCGGTAAAATTAAGCTTCATATAATACATATTATATTGACACAATATTATTCATATTATATTGACAATAAGTACATGTCACGTTGCTTTTTGCATTTATGGCTTCCCTTAATCCGTCTTAAAATTATCGAAAATAAATGTTTTCAGTAAATTATTTCTCTGTTTTAAACCATTTTTTGTTTGGTTTAAGGTTCTGATAGCTTAACTTGTCGTTGTGATAGAATTTGAAATTCGAAACGCTAGCAACCATTTCATAAGGCGAAGTCAGAGTTAAACACACATATTCAGGACATTAGTCTTCTCAATCACCAAATCAACAGTTCAAAAACAAACACACACGAAATATACTGATACCATTAACCCTTATCAATGATATAATATAAGAGCCATTCTTACTTTATAATTATAAATAGATGTATATACAATTGGTCATCTATAATAGTAAAATATTGAATTTCAGATGTTCACGAAGTTTTTAATTATTTTTTTGTTTTTCTTTTGCAACGTCAGAAAATTTCTTCTTGAATTTGCCCCCCCCTTTTAAATAATTTATGAATTTTCCCGGGAAAGCAAAACGAAAAATTTGTTTTCAAAAAAAGGTCAAAGTATTAAATTTGAGAGTTTGATGGCAAAAATGATTGCTTTGATGGACGTGACGAAATCAATTGCAGTAAGTTACAAGGCAAACTAATTCGTGTAATCATCCTACATATTTGATTAAAAAAAGAAACATTTTGTAAACGGTTTAATACCGTAAGCTATTATTATTTTTCTTTGACATGTTTCTTTTTAAAAACACAGCTTTTATATGCTTTAAACTGACGTAAATGTTATACATGTATATTTGTAGTTATAGGAAAGACGTGAAGCAATAATAAATAGAGGATATTGAATGAGTGTAGGTTTAATACTAAATTTATTGAACGAGTTGAATAAAATCATATTATGCGAGCCTCTGGCCAATATTGAAGAAAATCGTTTTTATTCAACGAGTTCAATAAATTTAGTATTGAATCTACACGAATATAATATTCTGTTTATCACATAATCTAAAATAAGAACAATAAACTGTAAAAACGAGTAATTTTTCAACGACGCGCCTATAGTGTAACGCTAACATTAGCGCGCTTTAGCGCTATGTTTCTATATAGCGCAAATGACTTCAAAGTGGTATTACACTAATGTAATATCGTTTTTATTAAATGGCTTTATTACACTCCTGCGCCGCGGTTTATGTGATAAAAAGGTTTACAAATATGTAGCTTCTTGTCGATGGGGCAACTTCAAATGTGGTGACAATACTTGTATTCCAAACTCTCGTGTTTGTGATATGTATGAGGATTGTGAAGATGGCTCTGATGAAAGGTCGTGTCAGCGGAAATACTCGACGTGTGAAGAGTTATGGGAAGACGGTTTCACTGAAAATAAGACGTATCTTATAGAAGGCAAAATTTACATTACGATTTTGATACAAAACAATTTCAGATTACTTATAAAATATATACTTTCCAATTACAAATCATTTTATGCATATTTGATTTAATAAACAGTTTGAAAGTTATAGCTTAGATATTTGATAACGAATACTGACAATAATAAATCTTTTTAATGCTGTAGAAAAATCATACAGGGTAGAAATTAAGCAAAGGAGGATTTTATTATTTTTCTATCGTAATTGTTTCGTTTTCTTGTTAATCAATGATCTTTTGTTTGAAATTGTAGATAATGAAATATACATTTATTGTGGCTTTGACTTCCTACAAGCCACAGGGTCTTTATCAATAACAATGATTTACCTGAACTCTGACTGGAAACAAGCTTCCGATAAAGAGTTCAAAATTACAACACCAGGTGTTGAGACAGCGTTAAATGATAACTTTAAATGTACTCAGAAGGTTGGTATTTTCAATAATGAGTTTAAGTTTTCTTTGGGTAATTTAAATTAAAACATGGGAAACAAATTTAATTTTTTTAAATTTTTTTAAAAATAAGGCCCATGTTTTTAAATTTTGATATTTCTGGTTTTCAAAAATTTGTATGTGGGCTTTCTTTTCTTTTTTATCTATATTTTTTTTAATAAGGTTAAAATAATACCCCTTTAAATGGGAAAAAAAGGGCGTCAGGGATGTTGCACCTTTTCATTATTCCTCATCATCATGTACAGACTCAATCAAACCGAGTCTGCAATTGTCATGTAAAAGTGTTCTGATTGGTGCTTGATCACAATTTTCCAGATTTTTATATAATTTCACATTATATTTATTTCTCCAATAACTATATACACTCATTTTAATGACTTCATATATGTTTAGTTTATAGAACTTCCACACAGAGACAGAATCAAAGTTATGAGGTTGGATAACCAGTCTGTCGAATTTAAAGAGTTAGAATACGTGCTCAGTTTAGATATTGATGTATTCGAAAATAAAACAGATAGGTAAGAAAATGTTTCTTGACAGAAAACATTTTTAATATTCTCATACATCATTTATCCTATCAGAATTAACTAGAACTATCGCTGAATGCGACTCATACCCCCACCAATGTCCTTGACAGTAGACGACTTGGAAAGGTAGTTAAGGGAATAACTTTAGTGGCACAAATACATATACATTAAAAGAAATTATCTCTAATGAAAAGAAGACAAATTGTACAGGTAATATTATAAATATATATTGTCAAATCATGTTCGAAACAGTTACAAATAACTTTTCATTTTCCCAATGTAATAAAACAAACAAAGCAGTGAAATAGCTTAATTATTTCAAAATGTAATTAAGAGTGGAAAACTGAGCTTGTTTGTGACCCTTTATATATTATATAGTTTCAAGTGAATATCTGTTCTATTTGAAGAAACATTTAATAAGCCTAAAAGGGTTTAAGAAATATTATAGTATATAAATTTAAAGACTTAAAAATGGACTTAACTTTGTCAAAATACAACACAATACAAAGTTATCCCTCTACTTTTTTAGTTATAAAACTTGACCTGCACATCTTACTCGTTTATGTATATATAAAAAGTTTCAATCAAATACCTTTTCCAATTTTTAAGAAATATTCAAATGCATTTTAAAATTTAAGAATATTTTCTTAGTCAATTTTTTACCTTCAAGTGTGACCTTGACCTTAAACCGGTAAAAAGGCCTTGTTGAGGTAAACATTGAGCCAAGATTGAATAAAAACTTTTCAATTAGTGTATGACTTACAGAGCGGTCACGAAATACTGTCATATATTTGATTGTTTGATATTTGACCTTCAATTGTGACCTTGACCTTGAGCTGACACATGGGAAACATGGATTCTGCACATTCCCTTGTTGAGGTGGACATTTGAGCAAAGTTGGAAGAAAATCCTACAATTAAATAGAATTTAAAGAGCGGACACGATAATGGAGACGGACGGACCGACAGACCGACGCGACAAAGCGAATCCATAATAGCCCCCCCACACATTTTGCGACGGGGTATAATTACCGCTAAAGCTGGTTTAACATTTAATTTTGACAACGTGTGTTGAAAATTGACCACAATTGGTCATTTTTTCAAGGTTGATAACTAAATTTTGGTCAAATTAAAAAGTTGACAAATGGGCCAATCTAACATTAAATTTTGATTTAAAAAATCGTTGAGAAATGATGAGTAGTTTTATTTTTTATCTAATTAAGGTCATTCTTAGGATAAGTTAAACTTGAGTTAAACGTCTGTTTGTAGTAGAGAAACGCTTATGGAAGCAACAGAATTGCTCACAGTTGTCCTAAAACTGATTTCCCAATCAAAGCATGGCAAAGCCTGTGCCGATGCGAACTACTTCGGCGAGAAAGGCAAGTTAATCTGTATGTTGAAGAGGGAACTGTTTTACAAAAGTTAAAGGCAAATGGGTCTATGTGATTGGAGTCCGACATGCCACTCGAGCCATTTACAGAGGAAGCATCTTTTTAAACTAAGGTTTCCTCGTGATAATTAATGGTCATTTTACGAACAAGTATAATCAACTCTTGAAATTCATTAGAATATATGAAGCTAGCCATGGTTTTAAGAAATAGTCTCTCATCATTGCGTTTAGGACGGTTATATGCTCAATATAGTGTGCATAAATAAATCGATCTAAATCCAGTGATAAATTTATATCTTTCCACGCTTTAAAAACGATAATTTTACATTGCCTCAATATAGACTTAAGGTATGCTTTATAGAATAAAAGTTGTGCGCTTATTGACAAACATTTCTATTTAATCATACGGGATAAAGTTTCTTATCTGCTATCAGTATATATTTAACGTCTGCTACACCAACCTCCTTGCATCTTACTACTGAACAATTTATAAACGAAATACAAAAAAATGTATTCTAATACGAACGCACGGTTCAAATGTCTGTAAGGTTGAAATATTACACGGCTGTTGTAAATTGTTAAGTTATAAGTGTGATATCTTTTTAACATTAATTACAGTAGAAGGCACTTACCTTTAGAACTACCATGCGACTCCCTTAAATAGCGGAAAGAACTTAAATATACATATTCTGCATGCAAAGTAATTTATAGTTCACTATATAAACTATATAATTGTCCGTTATCAGTTATTGCCGATGGATTGGCAATTTCTTATTAGCTCCTGGTCAATTTGAATAAAATATATAAATATTCATCACTTAAAAATCTGAGTGAAATGCAGAATTATTACTGTTCCAAGTATTTGACCATATATAGGCATTTTTGGCATTATTTGTTTTGATCATTAATAAATGTTTAAGAATGGCCTGTCTATAGTTGAAATCAGTTTTCAACGTTGTCATTATTTTACGCGTGGTAAGGTCATTAAATAACGGGAAGGGTCCATTTTCAAGGTTAAAAAAACATAGTATTTGATTTTAAGTTTTTGTTTGTTTTTGTTTTTGCGTTTGATCTCCTTTCCCCCATTGTCATCAGAACATGCTTGCAAAACTTGGGTTGTCCTTAAAAATAACACTACTTACACAAATGAGAATGTCCGAACAAGTTTTCTATAATGATTAGCACATGCATTTGTTTATGACTTAATAAAAATGATAAGAGATTAAAGTGACATGTTTAAAAATTATGTACAAAAATAAAATTAAACAAAATTCATAAATTTCGTTCAAGGCATTCAAAATTATTCCTTTAATTGGAACATAAATGACGAAAAAAGCAATTTGTTTTAAAATTGATTAACATAAGAAGTAGCTTCCACATCGATTAACCAAAAAAGTCAAAAAATAACTCTTTCTTTAAATAGGTGTGCATACAAAGGTTTAATTTCATTTGCATTGTTGCTTGCATTCACCCTGTGCTGTCCCTCTCTCGTGATTAACCGTTAAGAAAACAAAATATCTTTATATTACTAACGAGGACTGTAAAAACAAATCACACTTGTCATGCATTTTTGCCAGATCTTAAATAAATTAATAAATATATAAGTAAACCCTACTTGCATTGCAGGCAGATATTTTCGGCTTTTCAAAAAAGCATTTTCTGCTAGTTTTAAATCGATTGTCACTCTATCATTTAGTTTAAACATATTGTATTTCGAACATTTTGCTCATACAAGATTTACATACAATAGTGAAATAATACAATACAATGCTGAAATAGGATCAGATCCGAAAGCATAAAATGCTTATTAAGGTTTTTTCCTGACATAGGATAAATTACCATAAATATGACGGGTTGTTTAGTAAATTGTTGAAATATTGAATTCTAGGTAGAAAAGTAATTGTTTATACTAGTAGATTGAAAAAATAAAATAAAGAAGATTCGTCACTGAGTCAAATAAGCGACCTAAAAAACAAAAACAAAAAAGGGCATTGAGTAGACTGAAGTTTCTATCTGAAAGATGTCGGAATAGGGACTTAATAAATAAGACGCAAATATTGTCGTGTTTATAAATGTATAAAGTTTCAGAATTTTATAATTTGAGATACACAATCAAAGAAACGTAATTTGATAAGTAGAAGAAAAGAGGAGGACCTATTCCGTGACTAAATTTGAGGAGCCATGTAGCAATGACTATGAAAATTGTTTGCTATCTTGGGTAAAATTTGAACATCCTGAAATATACTGATATTGATATCGTCAATTAAGCTTGTATCACTGTTAACTACTGGGTGGAGAGTGACATTACAGTAGGCAGAAAGAGTTTGGAAAGGGCTGTGTCTGATAGAACTATATTGTTTGCATTCAAAGAAAATATGATCATGGTTAGTTTCTAGCAATCCACACTGACATAGAGGTTTGTTAACAATATTTCTTTCTGTATATATGGTGTTTTAGAGACTTGCCTTCTGTTTGAAGACGTGCAGGGTATATTTACCATTTTCTGACACCTGTATAGAATTATTTTGGACATTATTGTATGTTTCTATTCAGAAAAAACTTGAAAGCATATAATGTAGGACCATTTTTTACATCAATTGGTAGTTCATACCATTCTCTGAGAGCTGAAGGAAGAAAAGCGTTATAGTATAGAGATGTTCTTGCGTGAATGCCTTGTATATCGCCCGAATTTCTAAAATTATAACATGAGGTTTCACAATTGAAAGACAATAGTTGATAGGTAGACAGGAGAGAGTCAATTTTTTCATCTTATAAAGAAGAATCAATTTATGTTTCCTTATTCTACTGTCAAGAGGTTCCCATTGGACCTGTCGTTGAAGCTTATGAAGAGATACAAGTTAAGTAACACCACATACAATTCTAGAAGCTTATATCTACTTCAACCTTTGAGTTCAATTGATGTTAACAACATCGGCATATTCTAGAATTGGCCTGATGTAGGATAGGTAGATTATTTCTAAAGATTCTCTATCAAGTTGAAATTTAAATTTTCGCAGTATATGTATACTTTTCCACGCCCTCTTTGTAACATCTCCTTAACATTATTAATGTAAATATGTAAACCATCGTCAGAAAAGTGTAAGCCTAAGTGTTTGTGAGATGTCATTGAAGATATGGTCTGTTTTTGCATTAAGAGGGGTGGATGAAATTGTTTTGATGTTTTACGTGTGATGAACATTGTTTCAGATTTGGAAAGATTAAACTTGACTAACCATTTGTCAGCCAATGAAAAAATCTTTTTTATGTCAGATAGAAGAATGTCAGCTGCAGTAACTGGATGATCAACGATCAAATACAAACTGGTGTGGTCGGCAAAAAGATTTACAGAGGACCTTTAGTCAACAACAATATCATTGATATAAACTAAAAAAAGAAGTAGGCCCAGAATCGAGCCTTGCGGAACTTATTTATTATAGGCCAATCAGATTTAAATACAGGAAGGACAATAGATTGGCGTCTTATTGAAAGATGAATATACATATATGGATATAAAACCAGTCGAGGAGGGGTCCATGAATACTGGCACCTTTTAGTTTAAGCAGAAGATTATTGTGCCACACTTTACCAAAGGCCTTATTGAT